TTGGACCTCTTCATCATGTTTCTAGACTGACACTGGTATAGAAATGAACTCGGACCTCAGCATTGCCCCCCAGTGGATGTAATGCTAAACAGATATGTCACCCAAATCTAAGGCAAGTGTGGGAGTATGTGGACAGTGACTTTTGGAACAGATGTAAATATTTACGTCAGTAAAGGGAGAGAAAACGAGGCTTTAGACTTTGGACCTGGATGGGAAAAAAATGGAGGGTTTTACAAGCAGCAGTTTTTGAAAAGTCTCGCTAGCTACGATGGTGATTTTACCTCTACCATCTTTGAAAGTTCAGTCTACTGTATGTCCAATTTTGTGCAATACTTTAACAATTTTTACCCTGATGCTCCGCTTTCATCGGGGCTTTTTACAATCTGTTGTGTGTGTGATGGGTCAGAGACCTGAACATGTCCTTAAACAGCCGGTCACGTCTAGAAAACCTCCGCAGTAACACCGCGCTTACAGTAATTGTGTAACCGACCAATACATTACAGCACAATGGAGTCATGTTTCTGCAGGAAAAATTAAATTTAAAAAAGCCCAAAACAGGAGCCTGGACCGTTATACCCAACAGGGGAATAAGATTTAACCTATTAACTATGTCTGTACTGACAGAACCCAGAGTCTCAGCAGAGAAATGTTGTGGTGTTTTCAGAGCGGCAGGTTTGTGTGAAGCTGAGATGGGGGTGTGAACATCTCTAAGACACTGGTGAATCTTGCAGCAGGATGTCTGGTGAGAGGAGCAAACATGGATGAGGACCAGGCTCAGTGACACAGTTTCCCCTCCTGTAGACATGTATATGAATAAACCAGAGTATCACCCCGGTGATGGTGTATATGAATAAACCAGAGTATCACCCCAGTGATGGTGGGAAGAAGAGGAGGAGGAAGAGGTTTGAGAGTTCATGTCTGTGTCTTAATTCCGTTCGCTTTAATCTATCGCTTTTCACACACTCCGCAGCCTTAAATCCCACTCTGAACTTCTTCTCCAGAAATGGTCCAGCAGCAGCGAGTCCTTGACGCCAACGCCAGAAACGTAAAAGTAAAGGTATAAAAACGTCATGTGTCGCCGTTCACAGTTCACATCAGTCAAAAACTCTGCTCAGGGGAACGAGGATGTGTCTTTTTTTAGAACGTGCCCGTGTCTTTCCTTCCCTGTCCTTTTCAGGAGTGTTTTGAGACTAAGAGCTGCTCTGTGTCTGTCTGTGTGTGTGTGCGTACATGTGTGTGTGTGTGTTGGGGGGTTGCTTTGCCCATAATGCTGTGTGCTCAGGCATTAGAGGGGATTGGCTGACAGGAGCCGCTCCTTATTAGTGGTCCGTCTGACTGTAAGAGGCTTTGGCTGCTGTAGAAATGAAGCCGTAGATAAACGTACAGTACACAGAGAGGAAACGCAGAGAAGTGGCAGCAGCGACAGCGAAAGAGGAAACTTTCACAACTCAAAGAGAAACCTTACATGAAATAGATCAGTCACTTCCTGCATCAACCACAGCGTGTGAGGTTGTATTTGTGAAAGACCCGGTCCTTTAATTGGTTAAATGCGGTGTCATGTGATCTCAATCTGTTATCGTGAACCCGACGTACGCGTTGGTGACGGGCGAGATTTTTGCTCCACCTAGTGTTCAGTTGTAATCCAATGTTATGTCAGTTTTCTCACCGCAGGAA